TCTTCTAAGAGTTTGCCCTAAGTAATAATCAAATGCTTAAATTGCCCCCTTTATCCAATAATAATGCCTAGCAAGTTCTTACCTCTCCAGCTATTCCCAAATGATTCTTAAATCCAGGTTAGCATGAAAAGGAGAACACAGCTTCTATTTGTGAGTAATCATATTAAATGTAGGCAAGTGTTCAAAATTCTAATCAGTTTAAATAGATCCTTCACTACTGCAAGGTTAAAAAATAATAAGTTATTGTGTACAAGGCCAAACTAATGGAATAAGAAAGAGCAAACAAAAATCCAACCTAATAGAGAATAGTAAGCTGTTACTTTATTCAGAATACTATGCTGATACAAAACTATTGTACCTTATAAATACCTCATACTTGCCATTATTTAACTTACAGTCAACTATATGCTATTATAAACTGCAGCTCAATTGAATAACAAAGATTTTATTTATTAGGAACCATGTGTTTGAGTGAAATTGATTTCTGATATCTGGAGGAAAAATTAAACTAAGACTTTGTCAATAATGTGTCCATGACAAAGTATGATTCAGCTTAAAGGATTTTGGCATAGAAGTGCAATTTACATTGGATGTAGTCCAGTGAGAGAATTTTATTTAGTGTACTTGAACACATTCTAAATATGGCAATCCAAAGTGACCAATGTGATAAAAAGATTCTCATATGATGAATGAAAAATGGTTATTTCAATACATATATTTCTCAGTTTGAAAATGTGGTAAAGTAACATTTCATATGGTACATTACAAGCTCTTCCTTAATTTGCATTTGTATGGCAAGATCATTAATGCAATGATTTGGCAATCTGAATGTTAATTTATAACAAAAATAAACACAAAATTCTAGAACAGAAAAACTCTTCCCACACTTTTGTGAAAAATATAATTCCAGATGCTATGAATTAAGGCATTAAAGGACAAACCCAGCACCCACTTCCGCAGCAGCCAAAGCTCCCATGGCAGCAGACTCATGTGGCTGGAGTATATAAAAATGGGCGGATTTGGAGTTTTACAGCTTCTACACTGGCCTGGAATGGAAGTCAGATCAACAGGGTTTCATATGTAGAGTGAGGATGGAGCTAAGGGTAACAGACACAAGGAATCTTCAAGTCCTTTCTAACAGTGGGGCCATGTCCAGAAAAAAGCTAATTCAGTCATCGGGCTGAGGTAGCCTCCCTCAGGCGACTAAGCAGCTCTTGTGAAAGTAGCTTGCCTCATTCCTCCTGCATAATTTATCAAGCACACCAGGCTTGGAATTAAGTTAAAAAATATATGGCCCTAGATAAATAAGTCTTAATCATTAGAAAACTAAGACCAAAAATCAGAGCTAGCCTGAACCAGTTCCAAAAAAGTGGGTATTCACTCAAACTTTTATATTCATATTCTCTTGTTTTGCTTTTAATAAAATAAGAAATATTTAGTGTACTTTTTGTAGAACCTTACTACATTTTAAAACTTTTTTTTTAAATTTTCATTTAGGTACAGATATTCATTCGTTTATGATGAAGAATGCCTTGCATTTGAAAGTTTGTTTAACTGTACAATGGGCACATCTACACAAGATGCCATTCTACGCAGTAGACTAATCTACTGTGCGGTAAAGCATCACCATCTACATGTGAGCTGTATTTACTGTGTAATGAAATAGTCTACTGTGCAGTTGGCTACTACCTGTAGATACAGGTAACAGATTTACCGCACAGTAGCTACTATGCAGTAGCTCACATGTAGACAGCTGATTGGAAGCAAATTGCTCTTGGTCAGCCCAGGCAGCAAGGGGTAAGGGGGACTGGCTCTGCTCAGGTGGGGCTGGGACACTGTCCCCTGTCCTGGGCAGCTGCCTGCTCTGCTGTCCCCGCTCCAAATCAGCAGATCAGAGCAGGGGTTGGGAGGCAGGCAACTGCAGGGTCTGTTTCCCAGGCCCCGCCCCTGCCAATTGGGGTGCGGGGCTGAGAGGCAGCTGTCCCCGAGGCTGGACAGCTCCTCCCCCCTCTTCCCACCCCTCCCCCCCATCCCAGAACCCAGGCCTGACCCCGGTGCCCCCTGCCAGCTCAAGGCTGGCACCCAGGAGATCCCTTTTTTTAATTAAATGGCTGACTGACTTGGTTCTCTGCTACCTGTTGGTTGAAAAAAATAGCAGACTCCCCCTCAGAAGATGTTTTGAAATCATTTATTTACCCCTGTGTTGTTTGATCTGTTTCTTTTCAACAAAATTATCTTTGACTCGCCGGACCCTGACTTCCACGGAAAGTTTGGCTTTCCCTTAGGGAAAAAAAAAAAAACCTAGCAGAGCTTTAACAGACGAGTTTAAAATGCTCCAAAATATCCTTAAGGCCCTTTTTCATAGCATGTGGCATAGAACAGAATACAGGATTGATGTGCTATACCAAAATAGCTTTAGTAGCACTCCCCTACACACACATTCTTGTACAATGGACTCATCCCCAACTCATAAAGAGAAAACCTTTTAATTGCACCAACTTACATTTGTTAGTCACACTGCACACATATACAAACAGGCAAAGTATAGGTTAAAATCTGCACAGTAGAAACTGAAAGAGAAGAAGAAAGAATAGGGATAGAGAATAACGCATAATTATTTGCAAAGCTAAGGAACTCATAGACAAGCAAAGCAGCAATGAAGGGTCTGGATTGTAGGTCCATACCTTTGACACCTGCTTTCAATTGCATTCTAACTACCCACACTGCTTCTAGAAAGATTCTAGTAACTCTGGGCATTTATACACAAAGTTTTTCATCCCACAATGCGCCAGAGATTTGCAGGCCATAGCAGACTTGATTAATCGAGTCTGCTGTGCACACGAGCTGACACGCACTGTACTGCATCATATGCAGTTGTATAAGTGGCAAATTGCATGTCAGGATGCAGAAAATGGCAGTGGTGCTCTTTTAACTTTGAACTTGCACACCTTTGATGCGTTTTAGTTCAAAAGCACACCGCCACCATTTTCTCAGAGCTGATGTACATTTCACCACTTATACAACTGTGTGTGCCGCAGCACCAGGCGCTTTTAAAGGTGTCGGTGCTACAGTGCAAGCATGTGTATAAATGCCCTCTGGCTTTATACAGAAGATTTCACCCCCAAATTATATTAAAATAGCTATTATCAACATGACTATTACAGCAGAATTCTATTTCCTTGTTAAAACACATTTAACTTACACAGTTTTTAGACATCCAAGTAACCTAACAGTATCCTGTTTCACTTTACACCTGAATAACACCTACAGTTCTATCCAATGTGTATGATGGTCCTGACACTGCATGGCTGCAGGCAATTTAGGCCTGATTCAGAGTCACTTAAATCCATCTGTGCTCCATTGCAACTCTGCCAAGGATGCAGACCTACCTATGACAAGGGAGACATAGGGGGCTCTAGGTTTACCTCCCCTTGAACTGGATGTGAATCTTAATGTCCCACAACACAAGGCAAAAACCTAAATCACTAGGTGACAGACCAAGCAGCACAGGGTGTCTTCTTCTTGAACCTAGGACCATGGGGCAGCTAAGCAAGAAGACTCTGACTCTTTGGCCCAGGGAAAAGGATACTGCCCCAACACAGAAGAAGTGAGTTGTGGATCTAATTTTGTTGTGCATTTACATTACAGAGTCATTGAAAAACTACATAAACAACATTCAAGGAAAAATGCAGATGTCTTCACACACAGCACTCCACCAACTCCATTTGGGGCTAGAATAGATAATCAGACTACATTATTTAAAAATTAACTGAGTGGCAGCCCTCCTTACAATATTTCTTCATGCAGGAGAGACCTCTTGGGAAACATGACCTAGAACCAAGCATTGGCTCCCCCGTCCCAGGCTGCTCATGCACCAGGAGTTTAAAGGGAGGGTAGAAAGCCCAGGCCTAGAACTGCTTACGAGAGGCCTAAGCAGGTGGTATGGGCTGACCTAGAGGAGGGGACTTGTCACCCAGTCAGTCCCTATGGCCACTGTGGTTACCCTGTCCCCATTTCCACCTGGGCAACAGGACAAGTCTGTGTGTGACCCTGCTTTACAGATCACTGTTGGGTGGGCTGTCAAGGAACTAGCTGCTTTTCCTCCTTCTTTCCCCCTTGGAGGCAGGTAGGAGAGAGCAGATCACTGTGGAATAGTGGAGGCTCTAAGTAACATGCCAGATGTCAAAATTAATGTGGGATACTTACACACCACACAGAAGTTCACTTTCAATGAGTAACTTCTTTGAGGCAGGTTTGCCATTTTTATCAAGAGACAAATTGCTTTAATATCTGGCAGGTTATAATTTAAGGCACAAAAGTCACATTAATCACATAACAAATGTAATCTTTGTCAAGGGCATAAGTGCTGTCCATTGAAATGGATGGGAGACTTATGTACTCCTGCAGTGAAAAGTAAAATTCACAGCCAGCGAGTGCAAGGGCTGTGTAATTAAGCTCATTGAAAGTACAGGAGAGCCTTGTGTCTACACAACTGAAATAAAATGCCTCCCAGATTCCGGGTTTTTGCATCCCTTTAGATGAGTGGTGCCATACTCATCTGGACCCACAGAACAGGTGAGTGGTGTGGGACAGTCTGTGGGCTGGATCTGAAACACAGAGCTATGTCATTCGGCCCATGAGGCTGGAATTTGGGAGCAGCATTAAGTACTACAGCTCCCAGAACTGTGGCGTGGGAGTAGCCACTCCTCCTGTCACCAAATTTCTGGCCCTGTAGGCAGCCCCATGGCCCAGATGATATAACTCCACACTCCAGATGTAGCCTTCAGTGCTCTTCAAGAGCTTGGAAATTGCTTGAATCACTACAATATCTAAGACACCCCCAAAATTATATTGCAGCTTGTTTAAGTAGGAATGCCTGACTGTAGACAAATACACTAATCTGGCTGCTATGAAAACATTTCCAACTGCATCTTATTAGCTTTTTAAAATTTTGTATCACATCACTGACAGAAGTGTTTAGTCAGATGTTAGGTACTCACTTTTTGCCCTTTCACTCCACTGCAGTCACATTTTCCACAGCCACTACATCCCTGTAAATTAAAGAGGAAAAGAATTAAATTCTAGAGTTTGATGATATTTTCAACACAAAACAAATTGTTGATTATGAAATAAGGATTTCTCCAGTATCATATATAAAAAACACAAGTTCCCAAAACAGCAATTCATGTTGAGGATACTAAGCAATTAACTCACGTAATCTGATAGTACTAAATTAATGTAGGTATGTGACTTCATGCCTCTACTTCCTCCTTGTTTTGTCCTTCATCCCAATATATGGGTTTATTATGCTTTAGTAAAACTAAAGTGCTTTTACCAGAAAAATTGTGTTGTGTAGCCTTAGCACAAAACATATATAGTGACATTTTTAAAAGAATTTGGTGTTGGCTTAAATCTACTCCTACTGAGGCCAGTGAAATTTACTGTGAATTATAGTCCATGTTCTGAAAGACATGCTACCACATGTGGCTGAAACAAATAGGCTTGAATGTGGGTGGGTAACAAATAATGATAGATTTTTGTATCTATTAATTGCTGACCCAATTCATTCAGTTAGTAGAAATAATCATTATAATCTCATCTCACTATCTATCTATTATCAAATAGCATTTTCAGGGACATAAGCTAATACATGGTTTGGGATAAGAACTACGTAGAAGGTAGTTGGTCCTCCCCTTCTTTTTTATTCTGAACCTGGGCACAGCTCATTTCTAACAAACCATTAAAGTTCTCTCAGAATAGAACAGAGTGTGTTGCATGATCTGTAAACTAAAGCCATCTAGTTGCATGGAGATCTAGCTACTCCAATTAGAAATTTGAGATTTTTATTCCAACTCTTTAAATTGTCAAAGGCAAAAAAATAATTTAGAGTCATGTCTATTTACAGTAGATACTGTAATTTAAAACCATACAGTTATTTGATTTGTTCAGCTATTTGTAAAAGAATAAAAGTTTTATGTCTGCATCTCTTAATTTTCCCTGAGTCCCTTTGGAGGGAGAAGTCAGATCTACTTTAACACAAAATACGATGCTGTTTTATCTTCTTGTACACAGGTGTATAAGGTAGATTTACAGCATGTGATTTTCAGTCAACCTGTATCACAGGGCTTGTCTGTGAGGGTAAAGACAGAAGTGGCATTTTTTTTTGCAATCTGGACCCTAATAGCACTCTACAGCCATGGCATAACACGTGGCTGCAGAGCGCTTTTAAATGGCTGATCATGCAAAAATACACTCCTTAAATCAGATAGTAAATGAAGGCACTCTAAATAAGAGAGCGTAGGGAACTTCTATACAGTTCCCTATGAGGAATAAGTGTCATGCACCTGGTCTGCCACAGGGAGGAGGCAGAGAGTTCAAGGAGACTCAACCAGCCAGCTGGCTGCCTCCACGCAGGCAAGCAGGCAATCAAGTCAGCACTCAGGGTTGGGGGGACACTGGCCAGGTCCCCTCTTTAGGGATAGGGTCCCCAGTGCCTGCTTTCACCAGCAGGCTCTGGGGGTGCAGAATCTCCCAGAGCACCCCCACCCACACTGAAAGCCAGCCTAGTGCTTCCAGAGCCCTGGCTAGTTTACAAAGCAAGCAGCAGTGCCTCTGTCAGTGCATGGAGGCACTAAGCCCCCGTGCACAGAAGCCACGCGTGTGTTAGGTTTCAATGATGGTGTAACTTAAGAGCTTTGTATAAAACACAAAAAGTTACAGTGTGATTGAGGTGCCCTTTATAACTTTTGTAAGCACCCTGCATTTCACTTCCCACCAAATAGGACAATATGGAGCTGCTGCCAACCAAAGGATGTCTTATCTCCTAAATTCCATTGACATTCCTTTTTCTACTCAAAATGTCAAAATAGTTTCCTGACTATGGGCTCCTATATACACGTATGGAGCCTGCTCCAATTCGCTGGATATTTCTGTACTCCGGCAGATTCTAGTATCACGTGTATCAGTGTCCCCGCATTGAAAAAATGGTGACTGGGCACTTTGAACTAAAGCTTGTTCAATGAGCTTTAGTTCAAAGTGCCCCACCATCATTTATCAGAACAAGGGACACAGATACACGTGACACTCAGATGCTTTTGTATGGCTCGCTAATTAAAGCACACACACCCCATGCCTCCCAAAGCATATGTAAAAATAGTACTATCCAAGCTTGTATCCTTTAGATGTATTGAAATTAGCTGAACAATTCCCTTCATAAAAGAAAAGCATTATGAGAGAGGATCCCTGGGATAGATAGCCAACTTAAAACTACTTATGTTTGAATATTTTTCTTAATTTGTTAATCCATTACCTTTATATGTAGTTGCCAAACCTTACTCCTTAGATACCAACCACAAAAAGTAGCAGAGAAAAAAATCTTGCTACAGAAAATCACAAAGATCAGTTGTTCTATGGTTATTTATATTTCTTTTGGATTTTGGAAACATTTTATTACATTGGGGCAGATAATAATCATTCTACTGATAAACATTCAAGTAGAGCAACCTACTTGTTTCTTATGTCACCATAGTGCATATGTATAGAGGGTTAAATCTTGAACTCAAACAGATAGGAAATCTGTAGTTTAGTTCTCCAAAAAGATCAAAGGGGAACATACTCGTGAGTCTGCAACTGTGTACCATCAGGGACAACAGGTGTACTATTAATATATGTTATTGAACATTTTTTCACAAATGCACTTTAAAACATTAGTATAGGCAGGATTAAAAATGAATTTACATGCTATCCATTGAGATGAAGTCTAGGGGGAACAATTTGCCCTGCATACAGTCATGTTTCTTAAGAATATGGCCGCACAAATAAATTGATTTGTCAGCTAAAATCAACCCAATTTCTTCTGAGGTGGAGGAAAACAGGATCCACTAAACCAAAACCATAAACTTTTATTTATTGTTGAATAAAGAGTTTCAGCGAAAACAGGGGTGACCTAGATTCAAATCCTCTCTCTGCCCGAGACTGTTAGATTTAAACCTCTACCTCCCAAGCTAACATACTAACCATAATGCTAGCTGTAGGTATGCAGAGGTAGATTGTTCTCAGTGTCTCCTGTTGGAACTATGCCACCATGCGTGGAACATTTCAACATCACTTACAGCAAGGAGGAGAATTCAAACAGTATAACATAAACATTGCACAGAAGCTATGGTAGGCTGTGTGAACGAAAGCTTAAAAACGGGGGATTGGTACATTTTATGACATAAGGTGTGAAAATGGAAGAGGACTAGGTGATAACAAAACGTTGTGTATCGCTCTCCATGATACTCTGCGCTGGGCTGAGGAAAACCAGTGGCTGTTATTCTAGGACTCGGGGCTGAACAGCACAAAGGCTGCATTTCAGTACTAGGACTTGCTTGCATACTGAGTGTGGGAATTCCAGTCTCTTCCTCGATCCCCTTGGGCTCCCATACAAAACCCATTTACTTCGACCTTTTGCAGGGTCAGTAAATTTCAACTCCAGTGCTCAAGATGGCTGGGGAAGAGGAATTAAGGCCAAGCGTTCCCTACCACAGTACTCCCAACTGAGAAAGGACTGCAGGTTGAGAAGAAAAAATAGCACTAGTCTAAATTCTTTTTTTCACAATGATCAGTCTGAGAAGTCTACGGGCCAATAAATAATGAGAGGAAATGGGATTTTTTTTTGTTTTTGCTTAATATCAACATATTGACCATTTCCTTTTTTTTCTTCCCACAGCATAAAAAATGCTGACAATTCATTTTCATTTGTCTGCTTTCCAGCTAACTGTGGTTAAACATTAATTATTGCTGTTTGGGGAACTGCCTGAACCAAGGAATTCTTTATAACATTCACTTCTAGATCATTAAATTAAATTCAGATTTTAGTCAGTGATAACTAACAGTTGATTTCACATAATGTTTAAAAAAATAAGCATGACTGCTTCACTTCCATTCTTTGTGGATCCAGTGTTCACGTAACTTGAAAGAACTATGCTGTCCCTGCCCTCCCCCACACACCTACCCCTAACTGTAACCCTTTTCCCTGCCACCTTCCCACACCCCCAGAATTGTGATTAACATCAGCTGGCAATCTCAGAAGTTAAGAATCAAATAGATAAAGAGAATGGCCACCCTTCTTGTTCCTGGAGATGACCTCTGTTGATCAAGTTTGATGTACATCGGGGAGACGTCACTGCTATTTTCAGTAATTACCTGAAAATAACCTGCTATTTTCAGTAATGACCAATTACCTTGTGTCACAGAGCACTGAGGTGCCCTGTGCCTGAAGAGGGGAAAAACTGCTAAGGAAGGAGCCCTAGCAGTGACTAAGGAGCCCAGCTGGGGGTTGCCAGGGCAACCAATGAAGGCCAGCTGACCAGAAGGGGCCGGGCCTGGCTCCCTTTATAAACCCAAGGAGCTAAGGCCAGGGGCAGTTCCCTGCCAGCAGCCAGAGAGTCAGGAGCTCCTGGAGTAATGATGCGAGAAGCAGTGAAAGCAGCAGGTACAGCTTGACTGGAGTTGAGCAATGTTGTTGTAGCCAGGCGGCTTATGTTTGAGTTATAGCCAGGAGGCTCAAGTTTGTGTTTGCTGTTTGTTAAGACCGGTGGTTTGGGTGAGGCTATTAGGGGTTGGAGGAGGCCTCATAGGGGACTCACAGCAGAGTGTGAGGACCTCAGCGCCAGCGGGCGCAGCACACGGGGTGCACAGACCCCAGCCCCAGAGAGGGGCGTTTGGGAAGCCCCAGTGCGGGCGTGGCAAGCCCCAGAAGGCGGGGCCGCATGACTGGGAAGCCCAAGTGGGGCGCGGCGAGCCCCAGAAGGGGGGCCACATGACTGGGAAGCCCAAGGGGGGGGCAGCGAGCCCCAGAAGGGCGAGCCCCAGAAGGGGGGCCGCACGACTGGGAAGCCCAAGTGGGGCACAGCGAGCCCCAGAGAAGGGGGGCAGCACTTTTAAGAAGCCCAAGTGGGGCACGGCGAGCCCAGGAGAGGGGTCGCACGACTGAAGCCCAAGTTGGGCATGGCGAGCCCCAGAGAGGGGAGCGCCATAGTGAGAAGCCCAAGTGTGGGCATGGAGAGCCCGAGAAAGGGGGCAACATTACTGGAAAGCCCAAGTGTGGGCATGGCGAGCCCCAGAAGGGGGGTCGCATGACCGAGAAGCCCAAGTTGGGCACGGCGAGCCCCAGATAGGGGGCAGTATTTTTAAGAAGCCCAAGTGTGGGCACTGGGAGCCCCTGATAGGGGGCCGCATTGTTGGGAAGCCCAAGTTGGGCATGACGAGCCCCAAATAGGGGGCAGTATTTTTAAGAAGCCCAAGTGTGGGCACTGGGAGCCCCTGATAGGGGGCTGCATTGTTGGGAGGCCCAAGTTGGGCACTGGAAAGCCCCAGGAGGGGGCAGCATTGTAGAGAAAACCCCAGAGAAGAGAGCACAGAGTGAGAGAGGGCTGGAGGGAGCCCTAGCACCAGAAGAAGTGTGCATCAAAGGAAGGAAGGCCCAGGGAGAACAGTAGGGGCCGAATAGTGAGAGAATTGAAGTGAGAGAATTGAGACAACGGTGATTACATCGGCGAGGTGTGGACTGCGATGTAGGGGAGGATGCGGAGCTGCAGATAGCACCCCCTAGCGGCGGGGCAGTATAAGGGCAGCCTCCCGCTAATTAATACTAATTAATCAATTAAGATCAAGGCATGGCAGGCGAGTAGGCGGGCAGTTGCCCCAGAGGCAGGTGTGTGGGCCACATTAAGGGCGGCCCAGAGTGATGACCTGTCACACCTTGCTAATACATGATTGATCTCTAGAACGTATTTCCTAGTGTTATGTCTAGACTAGAAGCAATCATCCAATATATGGGATAGTATTCTGGACAAATAGGGAACTACATTTTTCAGTGCTATCAGTTTAGTACCCCTCCCGTCTATGAGTTTAAAGCACATAAAGGCACTTTATCCACATCCAATCCTAATTTAACATAAAGAATATACCTGGAAAAGATGGCAAGTAATTAAAAATATTATCAGAAAAGTTTCTTATGTAAGGAAAAAGTTAAATCCTTTGCACAGCTTTGATTATTTACAGTTTTGGTCCAGTTTTCAGAAAACCAACTGATTACTCTTATGAATAAGTTCTATGGAATTTAACAAAAAATAACCTTTTCATGTTTAATTTTTTTTATTGTCCCATCTAATATAATAGAAAAATCTAATCCTCGTCATAGAATTCAACAGATGTTCCCAGAAATCTATAGACAGAACAGAGCTCTTTTATAAGAGATTGCTTGTGTTATTAATAATTTGGCCATTTGGGTAAAGAAAAGGTTGGGTTTTTTTAATTATCATAAGATAATTTACAAAAAATTGCATTTTCTGTAATAATTAAAGTTGGCCAGAAATTTTCTGATAAAGCATTCTTGAAAAGTGTCAGTTTGTTAAGACTAAAATGTTTTGTTCAAAACATCTCTGGTTCATTGAGCTTTTATCAGATTCCTGTGCATCTGATACCCTGGAAACTCCTTGCAGTTGCTTAAGTTAAACTTAGTTTAATATTTAAAAAAAAGAAAGCTACAAGAAGAAGAAAAATCATTCAGCAGTTGGTGGCAGGTCTAAGGACCTTTACCAAAAGCAAAAATGTTGCATGGCTTAACTTGGATTGAAATCAATTTTTTTAATGAAATTTCCTACAAATAGAATCTCTGCTTTCTGGTCATTTCTAGCAATAATTCATAAATTAAAATTTACTGAAAATTTCAGAATATTAGAGATTATCTGCCTCCTGTTTCTCAAATACAGCTCAAGACAGTTGCTTTACTAAATATTATGTTGTCTAACACTATTAAAATTAATACTTCCAAGAAATGTAAAATAAGTATCACTGAATACGCATGCAGACTCATTCCTACAGAACGTAAGATTATTTTAGATGGGCAAGCAAAGAATATTATGGTTGCCACTGGTCTGTTTATCCAGTTGTTCTAAATCTTAATTCCTTTTTGAGAACTCGTTTTGTTTATATTTCCAAAGGAGATGTGAAAAATCCTAAATGTCAATAGGTTATAGGATCATGTAGATACTGAGTCACTACAGCAACTGTTCATCACCAACAATTCAGAATTGGACTCTACTTTATAAAATCTACTAGAGAAATAAAACTTTCTAATAATTAAAAGCACTTTCATAAATTCATTTGATAGGGCACATACCCTTTGTAATTGAAGGTAACTATTAAATCATGTTAAATCAGGATTTTTATTCTCCATCTCTACATAGTTCCACTTGCACAGATGCAAACTAATTTACTTAACACAGATGAGGAGTTCAAGTCATAATCCAGCCTATGTAGTTCCCAATAGCCTGTACGCAAGCTGTTGTGTTACAAAATTACTGACTACAGTAAGCACTACCATGCTCAGTTTGCTTCATTATCCTAGAACCACAAAGCAATTTGTTCCTTTTCCTGTGTGACGTGACTTAGAATATTCTACCTCCTATATATGCTTTTAAGTATAATTAGCATTACAAGTGTCTATGCACATGAACTGAGGGGAGAATAAGTGTCAGGTTCCATTTTTTTCATGAAAAAAGACAGCTTATAGCCTTTGAAATTAGTTATTTGAGTCTGAGACTACTTTTCTCCTAGCTCATACAGGATCTGTACAAAGTTTCCTTTATGCCAGGGTGGGCTAAATGCAGCCCGTGGGCCAGATGCAGCCCGCCAGGTCATTCTATCCAGCCTGCGGGGCCCCTAAAAAATTTAGAAAATGAATATTTATCTGCCCCCAGCTGCCTGTCATGCAGCCCTCAATGGCTTGCCAAAACTCAGTAAGCGGCCCTCCGCCTGAAATAATTGCCCGCACCTGCAGTCTATGCAATTGTTGGGAATATAGGTGCAAACTGCTTAAAGCCACCTTTCTACTGGCAGCTAGTAGAAGACAAGGTCTCTTTGTCAAACTTGGCCTCTTGTGTTAAACTTGAGACACTTTGGCCCTGATTTTCTGTAGCACCGCATACATGCAATCTCAGCTGGACTCAAAGTGAATGGCGAGTGCACGGCACTACTTGAAATTCTGGCGCACAGAGTGCATCTAAATAAGATGCTTTACTGCAGAGCAGACTGTTTAGCTCCGCAGTAACACATCACTCTCCACACATGCAATGCTATTAGGCCACAGTAAATTAATTAACTCTACTGTCCAACATAAGTACTACCCTACACCTGAGTAAACATGTGCAGTGAAATGCCCCTGGCTGGCAGGCTGACTGGGCTGCATCAGAGTTTATTGAATTGCATGTGTAGATGTGCCCACGGGGTCTCAAGTTGGGCATACTACAATAGTAACTACTGTCAAATGTTTTTACTAATTCCCTAGGGAAATGTCTCTCACAAAGATAATCCCAAGCAGCATTCAAAGAGGTTCCCACTTTGTGGTTTGTGGTTTATCACAATGGTTACAGCACATGGACAAACAGCTACTGTCGTAAGTGTTAATTATTAAATTGTTTTGCAACACAAACCTGCCCATAGAGATAAACTCACAAGGTTTTTTTCATATTCCCTTTTGGAGACAGTGGTTTCTGTGGCTACTGAATCACAGAGATTATTCATACAATGCCTACTGTCCAGTTTTGGATGCTATCCTAATGTCACAAAGGTCTCACTGCTGCTCCCCAACCCCAACTAGGGTCTATTGAATGCCAGCTTAAGGTTGTAGGCCATAAACATTACTTTGTTCTCAGAGGGTATCATCTCAATTTTGTCAAGCCCAATCAGTATATCAGCTAACATTCTTTTTATTTTTATTACCAAAGCCCAGAGCTCTCATCACATACAAGGCCTCACCAATGGTAGGTACTGTACAAACACAGAACAAAAAGACAGTAACTAACCCAGATTATTTACAGTCTAAGTACAAAGACTACAAATAGATACATCATACTGACGAATATTTTCTCATTGTTTCCTTTTGCTTCCCTGTTTCTTGTGTATGTCAGGAATAGCACATTAGCAGTCCTAATGTCAAGTTTTTGGGTGTTCTCACTGTGCCCACCTCTGCTCTACCAGGCGTTCTCATGCGGCCTTAGCCCGGACTATCGATCTAGCCTGTCCCGGGCTTGCATGTGGACCCCAAAGGCTACCCCGGCTGACATCCGGGGATCCCCTTAACTCACCTGCCACAACTTCGAATGGTACCTCAGTGGAGGGATTCCCCTCCGAGGCAGTCTCCAGGGTCATCATGCCTCTCAGCGGGCACTCACGGGGCTCCGACCTCCCCTATACCCCGGCCACTCACCACCTTGGGTCGCAGGTCTTCTGGCCCTTTGGCATCCCTGGCTTCACTCAGCTTCTTCCCCAGTCTCCTATGGCCCTCCAGCCATGAGTCTCAGTGTCCCCAGGTCACAGCTCGAATGTGAAGACTTGAGGCCCTTGGACCTGGATCTGACTAACCTGTATCCCTAGTGCCCTATCCCAACCACTCTGTGACATAACGTGCGATCCCCACCACCGTGACAGCCAAAGCAATGCCACCTGTGGGCCAGGAGGCCACAAAGGAATAAAGAGTGCCCTTAACCTATGGGCCCCGTGGTTTCCCTGTGCCTAGGTGACCCAGCCCCAGTTGCTTGCCCCACTCAGGTATGGTGTCCTGGCTGATTATCCTTGGGACGTAGTGGGGCCCGTCCACTGCTTAATCCGTCCCTGGTTGGGGTCTTCTGCCGCACCCCGCGGTGATCCCTGTTGGGGGTTCCCATTGGCCCTGCCCTTGTTACCTCCTCTCCGGGGCTTCCCTGCTGGCTCTTCAGTTGGTGCCTCCGCCAGCTTGCCCGTCAATGCCTCCGCTGGTTCTGTAACTGGCTTCGCTGCCTCTGCCTCCATTGGCCTCACTGCCAGTGCTGCTCCTGGCTCCGTTGCAGGCTTCTCTCCCGGGCCTGCTGCC